CCTCAGGGCCATGTTTACTCTGGACTCTCCCAGATGTCTCTGTCTCTGCCTATATTTTCCTTTATACCTGCAATAAACCTTTGCCTTCACTGTACCTAGGAACAGTCATGTCCTTCCTTCTATTTATTTATTTATTTTCACTCAAAGTACCCAGTGCAACCCCTGGCAGCTGTCTCCAGCCTCAAAGTGACACTCAATTTGAAGCCTGGGAGGGCTGAAAGCCCAGGGGTAAGAAACTCCCTTGAGAAAACCTCAGCGCCCAAACTGGTCACTAGTGTTCCTACCTTGTGAGCCAGGCCATGAGGTTTTGGGTCACTACTTTTCATTCCCTTCAAGATAGACTCCAGAGGGACTTGGGCCTTTTGTGTTTGTTTTGTGAGCTGTAAGTGGAACACAGGGCCTCAGGCATCCCGCCTGTGTGTTCTCTCGGGGATCTCCGCCCAGTTCAGAAACTGGTTTTGTACTGGAAGTCAGCACTCCCTGTGTCAGACACAGGCATTCACTTTTTTTTTCCCCCCAACCAGGGTATTTTTTAATTAATTTATTTTTATTTTATGTGCACCAATGCATGTTTTACCTGCATGTTTGTCTGATCTTGGAGTTACAGACCAGTGTTACCTGCCTTGTGGGTGCTGGGAATTGAACCCAGGTCCTCTGGAAGAACAGCCAGTGTTCTTAACTGCTGAGCCATCTTTCCAGCCCCCCAGGCATATGCTTTCTATAAATTTATGTCTGTCCAATCCCTGACAGCTATCTGAGTATTCCCTACCAGTTCTGAGGTGAGCCACTAACTAGTTGGAGGCTGCAATCCTAGAACATGGGCAGCTGCTCCCACAGCCCTGGCACAGACCCTGAGCAGATAAATTCATATATTCATATTCTCTCTCTCCTTCATCTTGTGGTGGGGGTGATATGTGCATGTGTGTAGAAGCCAAAGTGTCTTACTAAATCACTGTTTTCTTTCTTTTCGTTCTTTCCTTTTTCTTTTTCTCTTTCTCTCTCTCTCTCTCTCTTTTTTTTTTTTTTTTTTTTTTTTTTTGGGTTTTTCGAGACAGGGTTTCTCTGTATTGTTTTGGAGGCTGTCCTGGAACTCACTCTGTAGACCAGGCTTCTCTTTCTCTTTTATCTTTTTCTTTTTTTGGTTTTTCGAGACAGGATTTCTCTGTGGCTTTGGAGGCTGTCCTGGAAGTAGCTCTTGTAAACCAGGCTGGTCTCAAATTCATGGAGATCCGCCTGCCTCTGCCTCCTGAGTGCTGCAATTAAATGCGTGCTCCACCACCGCCCGGCTCCTTTTTCTTTTTAAGGATGAATCTCAGGCTGGTGTAATCACTCACTGAGTGAAGATGCTTGCCAACAAGATTGAGGACACGAGTTCAATCCCTGAGCCTCACATGGTAGAAGGAGAGAGCTCACACAGCTGTCCTCTGATCTCCAAATGCATGCCTTGACACCCAGCAAAATAAGTAAACTAAGAGGTAGATGACACATACATGTGCAATTTAAAAGAGAGAGAGTTTCTCACTAAGCCTGGAGCACACATATTCCATTAGACTCACTAGGAAGCCTCAGAGATCCCCTTCTTGCCATTTCCCCAGTATTGGGATCACAGGCTTTCTCTGACATATCTAACTTTTCATGTGGTCCTAAACTCAAGTTTATGTGGCCCGAAACTCAAGTTCTCATGACCTTACTGACTAAGCCATCTCCCAGTATCCTCTGTCAATTCAAACAGTCTCTATTTGAATCTTATCTTTTTTTTTTTTTTTTTTTTTTTTTTTTGGTTTTTCGAGACAGGGTTTCCCTGTGGCTTTGGAGGCTGTCCTGGAACTCGCTCTGTAGACCAGGCTGGCCTCGAACTCACAGAGATCTGCCTGCCTCTGCTTCCCGAGTGCTGGGATTAAAGGCGTGCGCCACCAACGCCTGACTTGAATCTTATCTTATAGTGGCATATGTGGGTGTGCATGGCCTTGCCGTAGCATAGACGTAGAGGTCTGAGGACAACTCACAGGCATCAGTTCTGTCCCCACACTACGTGTGGGCCCTTGGGGATACAAGCAGGCTGTCAGCTTTGGCACCAGCCACCTTTACCCACTGAGCTATCTTGCCCACCCTAGTCTATTATGATCTTTTTTATTTCCTTCCTGCCAGGGATGGAACTGAGTGCCTTGAACATGCTACACAAGCACTCTGACAGCCAAACTAATCCACCAGTCACAGCAGATACCCTTTCACTGAGCAGTTATTTCTTCTCAGATGCTCCCATCAATGCGGATGGCCTCCAGATACTTTTTTTTTTTTTTTTTTTTTGGTTTTTCGAGACAGGGTTTCTCTGTATTGTTTTGGAGGCTATTGGTCCAGCCCAGCCTCGAACTCACAGAGATCCGCCTGCCTCTACCTCCCGAGTGCTGGGATTAAAGGCGTGCACCACCACCGCCCGGCTTTTTTTTTTTTTTTTTGCCTCCAGATACTTTTAAGCCCTTGTTGAAAAAGCTGTAGAGGAAGTGGAAATGCAAAAGTGAACACAAGAAGGAAGAGACAAAGGGAAGAGAGGCAGGCAACCAACTCCGCAATGATGCTCATTCCTTTATTGTCAGCTGTGTTAATCTCAGCAGGCAGGGCCTGCAGGCTGCTGGCAGCGCCAGACTCAGGTGCATTTCCACTTAACAGAAAGGCCTCCATCCTAAACCAAGGGGACAGAGGTTAATGTTTTATATATATATATATTTATATATTTATATATTACATATGTCCCAGATAGTCATCTGTATAGAGTGACAAGAATGGGCCACTGTGTAACTTTAATTAAAGACCATAGCAACAGACATGGAAATTTGGTCCTAATTAAGGCCCTTACTTTGTCAATCAAATGTCTGATACATCAAAAGAAAATGGAGAGAGAGACAGACTGAGATCCAGCCACCTCTGGTGGCTCTGTCCCTAGTGTATCTTACATTGAGTGTAGTGCCCCCTGCACAGGTAAACACACACATAAACACACATATACAATCCCATAGGCAGGGGTTCCTCCTCTGACCACACCTTGGGACTAGGCCTCAGGCTGGGGTGCTGAAGTGTGGTATATTGTGCTATAAAACTATGAGGGACAAGTGACCCAGACAATGTGGAGTCGATGTGTCTAAGTGATGAATGGGGTGACACATGCAGCTTCATCTACAAATGACCAAGTGGTTAGGGGGAGGTCCCTCAATGCCCAGGTCACATGGGGAGATTCCTACACACAACTGTCCCAGATATAGCCAAATCTCTGATCTGAACCCTGAGTATCAAACAATCACAGGGCTCTGATGGATAACTAAGATTTCCTTGAGAGACAGTCAGCCTAGAGGCTCAAACGTCCCGTCCAACGGAACAGCAGAAAACACAGCAGTGGAGTTGAAGCAAGTGACTCTCAGAGGAGAATGTGAATGGTACAGAGGGCTTATTTCCTGGGGACAAGAACGGCCCACTGCCCTTCGCCAGACACAAGACTTCTGGCAGATGTATCAGCTTCGTGCCTTACTTAGATTACAGACCTGCTCAGAAGCCAGGGAACAGGACTCCCAACATAAGGGCACCTGAAACTCTAACTTCCTATTGGTTTGTATCATTGAAAAAGACCCCTTACCACCCACCAAAATATACATCTTGAAAATAAATCAACTTATTTGGCAGTATTAAGTATTAATATTCAGAGTATTAATACTTAAGTAATATTAATAGCATAAAGAGCATTTCTTAATTTTTCAAATAAAAACTAAGGAGTAAGCTGTTAAATGTTGACAGCAGAAATTACAATTCTAAATTCAATAAACTGTATATTCATCAACATCCTTTGAGTAGATCCAAGGCTTGAAAAAGATGAGACATAGGGCTAGGGATGGTGATACATGCCTGTAATCCCAGCACTCTGGAGGTAGAGGTAGGAAAATGGCTGCAAGTTCCATGCCAGCCTGGTCTACACCTTGAGTTCCAGACCAGCCAGGGCTACATAAAGAGACTCTGTCTCAAAATGAAAAATAGCAAAACAAAACAACAGAAATAAATGATCGTGGACGTTCCCTAGAGACGTATCAGTAAAGCAATGAGGAAAGGAGTCCAAGTTTGTTGTAGGATAAATAAAACTGGATGATTTTAACAAATTTAAAAATTTAAATTTTTACCTATTTATTTTGCTACAGAGTCAAGGAAGATCTTGAACTTCTGATCTGCCTACTTTCATCTCCCAGGTGCTGGGATTAAAGGTGTGCCTGTACCACCATGCTCAGTTTAAAGCCAAATGTAAGAAAATGATTTAATCTTTAGTTATGTGTATGTGTGTGTCTGTAGGTGGGTATGTGCATGTGTGTGTAGGTCACTGCAGAGGCCAGAAGAGGGTGCCAGGCTCCCTGGAGTTGCCTGATGTGGATGTTGGGAACTCTACTTGGGTCCCTCTAGAAGAGCAGCAAGTGCTGTTAATCATGGAACCATCTCTCCAGCGTGGAGCATTGTTTTTATGAAATAAGGTTTCCTTATACAGAATGGGCTATCCTCATTGACAATTCTACCTCAACCCGAGTGACTATAAGCAATTTTGTGGGGTTGCATATATACAAAAGCCTTTTAAAAATAAAAACTGGGTATCTTAGCCCACATCTATAATCCCAGCATCTGGAAAGCTGAGACAGGAGTGTTTCAAATTTGAGTCAAGGGTGGGGCTCATAGCAAGTGGATACTAGTAGTAGGCCAGGGCTACACAAAAAGGCCCTATCTGGGGGTGGGGTTGGGAACTCTAAAGATGGCTCAGCGGTTAAGAGCACACATTGCTCTTCCAGAAGACCCGAGTTCAATTCCCAGCACTCATGTCAGGTGGCTCACAACCATCTGTAACTCCAGCTCCAAGGGGGTCCACGCCTCTGGCCTCTGAATTCATGTATACAGACAACATATTTTAAAAATAATAAAAAATAAATCTTTAAAAAATAAGCTTTATCTTGCATGTAAAAAATAAAGGTCAATGAAAATTAACTTTTTAAAATAGAAATTTACTTATCACTTGCAATACCTGTCACAAAGGAGGGCGGGGAAGGGCCAGTTCACACAGGTAGTAAAGAATGGATCAATTTTCAACAAAATAGTAACCCCCAAGATGTGACTCAGAAATAGGGGGAATAGGTAAATCTGGCAAAGACTGTGCCTGGTTTGTTTCTTAGACTAGCCAGAGGGGAAAAGTAAAGGATTTTGCTATCTGCATTTCATAAAGGGCAGAAAGACACTGATTCCTTCCACTATGGACTGAGGCCGGAAGCATCAGGGAACAGTCATCAAAGCAGGGAGAAGCCACACCTCACACGAGGACAGGTGGTTTGTCCCAAAGGAGACAAAGGGACCTGAGGGGGGACTTCCCTTGATGACAGTCCATGTTGTTTCCACACCGTTCCGTTTCCCGCAGTTTTCACGGTGGAACAACTGTTGGTTCCCAATTCCCAGGACAAGGGTGGGGGAGGCCGGCAATGAAGCGGTGCTGGGGAAACCATGAGTTCCTGGCAAGGCTGGAGAGCTTAGCATGAGTCTCAGTGAGGCTACTGAAAGTCCTTGGGAAAGAGCACAGCGGGCTCAGTCCCCTGGGGTGCAGGCCCAACGACATTAGGGTGCCTCCTGCCCTCAATGGACACCAGCAGCTTCCCAGCCCCAGAAAGCGTCAGGGGCTGCTCACCATCGGACAAGAAGATGGAGACTATGGAATGGACAGGTCAAGGGAGTGCTGTCTTCTCAGGCACTACCATCTTCCCTTCTGGAGGCAGCGGACATGAGGAGGGGCGTGGGGCCTGACTGAGGTGTCCACCTAGCCATAAGAAAAGGAGGCTATGCAGTGACCACGGCAGGCCCAGGCAGCTCAGGCGAGGGGATCTCTCCTCACTAACCATGAATAAATAACATGAATTAAATAAAAGAAACACAGAGAACAGGCAGAGCGCCGTCTGCCCTTTTCTCACCCCTTCACACACACTAGTACACACACACACACACACACACGCACACACACACACACACACACACACACACACACACACGCATGCATACATACATACCATACACATACACACGCTCCAAGCATCAGATGCGATGAACCAGGGTTGACTGCCCTATCCTAGGAGTCTGTATGACGGGCAGCCTGACTGAAGGCTGTCAGTCATGGTCTACCACTGGTGCAGGGTGCAGAGGAGCAGAGGCCGCGGAGGCATGAGTGGTGGAGGGTGGAGGCCGCTGAGGACTCTGGCACCTGTAGAGAGACGCATGAGACAAACCAAAGGAGAGATTAGGGAGACCAGGGTACAGAAGTCTGAGGTTTTTCCTTCCCTTTTCTTTCTTCCTCCCTTCCTTCCTCCTTCCTTCTTTCCTTCCTTCCTTCCTTCCTTTCTCTCTCTTTCTTTCATTTTTGTTGCTGTTGTTTTTGTTTCTGAGACAGGGTTTCTCTGTGTAGCCCTGGCTGTCCTGGAACTCACTCTGTAGACCAGGCTTGTCTTGAACTCACAGAGTTCCACCTGCCTCTGCCTCCTGTGCTGGGATCAAAGGCATGCATCCCCACTGCCAAGTTGCTGTGCCACACTATTGCAACAGCGTGTCATGCAGACAGGCCACCATTGTAGATGGAAGCACAGGTCTTCCTTTCCCTCCCCACACACCCTTTGGTTGCCACTAAAACCCTTTTCAGCCTTGACCAACCCATGCAATCCCACGGCTTCCCAAAGCCCAGGGCGCACTTTGACCATGGCAGTACTAACCAGGATCTTGACTTTCGCACTTTAGATGTGGAAGGTCTCTCCAGAAAGCTGTCCAACCTCATGAGCCTCTCCATGTGTAGTACCCGTGGATCTTGTTCTTGGTCATGAGAAAATTCCATCTCAAAGATAGCCGGTGGAGAAACATCCAATTCCAAAAACATTATATTTTCAGCCTGTGGTAAAATGACACAGCAGATGTGAGCAGTGGCGTATCTTCCAGGCACTGGATCTTGGTATCACAAGGATGATGGGGCACTTAGAGAAAGCACATGCTGTAAGCATCCCTTCTCCTTGGGTTTCTCTCCCTTTCCGACTTCTGCTTCCCAGCTTCTTACCCTGTATCTGGGATGGGACCCCATTGCCATGGCAACCCGAGCATACTGGCTGATAGGTCTCTTGTAGCCCACTGCAGAAGTTGGCCGCTTCTTCATTTGACTGTTATTCCTGTAGGGAAAATGGAACATTAGAATGAATTTATCATTGGTTTAGTGGGTTTTTAGAGTTTTTTGGGACAGGGTCTTGTGAAACCCCGGTTGGCCTTGAACTCATAGCTGAGGGTGACCTTGAGCTACACATCCTCCTGCCTCCACTACCAAGTGCTAGGATTACAGTCATACCTCACCACGCTAGAAAGACAATGAACAAATGGCATTGTGAGGGGCTGCTAGCCAGTAGCGGGAGGCCCATGAGGTTGGACGGCTTTCTGGAGAGACCTTCCACGGCTGAAGTTCAAAAGTCAAGATCCTGGTTAGTACCACCACAGTCAGTTTCTCTCATAGTAAAAAGAGCTGACTGTGTGCAAGAATGAGGACCCAAGTGCAACCCCCAGAGCCTGTGTGCAGTGGTTTGAATGAGAATAACATAGATTTGAATGTCTGGTCACCAGGACTGGCGCTATTTGAAAGTGATTTCATTAGAAAGACCCTAGTTTCAGCTGGGCAGCGGTGGCACATGCCTTTAATGCCAGTACTTGGGAGACAGGGGCAGGTGGATCTCTGTGAGTTTGAGGCCAGTCTGGCCTTCAGTTCGAGTTCCAGGACAGCCAAGACTATACAGAGAAACTCTGTCTGGGAAAACCAAAAGAAAAAATATTATTTTTTTGTAAGTGGGCCACTTGACCCATCCTTGTATTGTTCTGAGACTAAATCTCATCTAGTGCAGGGTGACCTGAAACTCACTGGGTAGCAGATGATGGATTTGACTCTGGATTCTCTTGCTTCCACCTTCTGAATGCTGAGGTTAATCCAGGGCCCCATATATGACAGGCAGCAGTCTACCAACTGAGCTATGTCCTTACCTTTTTTTTTTTTTTTTTTTTTTGAGACAGTCCTATATCACCATGGCTGGCCTTCAGCTCTTCATCTTCCTGATTCTACCTCCTAAATTCTAGGATTACAGACAGGGGCGACCACACTCAGCCTGGTTTGTTTTTGTGATACAGTGTCTTGCTATGTAGCTCAGACTGGCTGCAAACTCTTCATAACCCTGTAATCTTGCTCATCCTGCCTCAGTTTCCACTGTGCCTAGATCACAGGCGTGAGCTAACATGTCCGTAACAGCGGAGCTTTCCCCCTTGGCAACTTGATGAATATAGTATAATATTGTATTCACTCCAAACGAATGAGAGCAAACAGAAGAAACAAGAAATCGGTGTCCAGTTAAAGAACAAAGGGCACAGGTTTGGAAGTGACGCCAGGATTGGGTTTGAACATTGTCTTGTCCCCTTACATCTGGGTCACTCTGGGAAGAAGCTTACTATTCCTGGCCTCCAACATGTCACTACACCCCTCCCCCCCAGAACTGCTGGGATTCAACCAGACACTTAGCACAGTGCATTGCAAGGGCTAACACAAGGCTGTGAATTAGCTCCGTCTGCTCATTCAAGTAATGACCCAAACAAAATGAGCAATGAAAAATCCAATAGGTGACACTGGAAGGGAGAAGACAGGAGGGAGCCACAGTTACTCCCAGGCAGGACATTCTGTCCCTGCATAAAACTAGCTGTACAGAAACCCCAAGGCTGATTTGCATTCTGCAGCCAAGGGATGAGAAGTTACAGACTTAGTGCTGTCAGTGTGTGTGTGTGTGTGTGTGAGAGAGAGAGAGAGATCTCACACATGTGTGTGCATGTGTGGGGTGCAAGTGCATTTTTGTACACTGCATGTGTGTGCACATGTGTGGTGACCAGAGGTGAATACTGAGTGTCTTTCTCAGTTACTCCCTGTGCTGGCTAGCTTTGTCAACTTGATGCAAGCTAGAGTCACTAGAGAACAGGCAACCTCAACTCGGAAAATGCCTCCATAAGATGGGACTATAGGTCATTTTCTTAGTTAGTCATTGACTTGATGGAGGTGGGGGCGGGTGGGGTGTTAGCTCATTTGTGGGTGGAGCCACCCCTGGGCAGGTGGTGCTGGGGTCTATACGAAAACAGGCTGAGCATGCCAATACGCAGCATCCCCACGACCCCTGCCTCTACCCTCCACCCGTTTGGGTTCCTGCTCTGATGCCCACACTGTTCCCTGGAAGTATAAGCTGAAGTAAACCGTTTCCTAACTTGCCTTTGGTCATAGTGTTTCATCGAAGAAATAGAAATCCTCCATCTTATTTCTTGAGGTAGCTTCTAAACCTAGAACTTGCCAATTAGGCTAGCCTTGCTGCCCAGCAAGCCCTCAGGAGCCTATTTCTGCCTCTCCAGTGCTGGGATTACAAGCATACACTACCATGCCTGGTTTTTCACATGGGTGTTGGGGATCTGAACTCAGGTCTGCATGGTTGCTCCTGAGACAGCCATCTCTCCAACCCTGAGAAGTTAGTCTTGAAATCCAGTTTACCAGACATATTAAAAAGCACCGAACCCCACTTAGTGGTCCCAGTTGGGCCTCTTCCAAATGAAAACAAGGAACAAGAAAGCTGTAAAAGCTCCATTTCATTTTGTCCCCAGAGGCTATAGAAGGCCCAGAAGCAGCTTTAATGACAGTCTGGCACAGCCCGCTAATGGAAAAGTATCACCACTCCACAGAGAAGAGAGGGGGAGTTTATCAGTGACAAGGTTTGCTCCACATCTCATGTTAGAATTTTCTAACATGCGCCTATGGAATGGATGAAACAAGGAGACAGGCTTAGAGAGGCCAAGTACCCTTTGTAGGTAAGGTCACACAATTAGCAACCCTTTTTGTCACTGTGTACTGTCTCTTAAGGGTGCATGTGGGGACATGCCGAGTCAGAGAGACCCTTTGAGAACGCAGGCTCTGGGAATAGGACAGAGGAGGAGAGCTAAGCGAGCAGAGCAGCTGCTCAGTGGAAAGGGAAGCCTGACCCAATGAAGCTGCCGGGTTACTCTGGGCAGCGTGCTGGGGGAAGAAGGGGCTGGGGGAAAGGAGTCTATAACTGGGACACCCATTTTCCATCCACCCCCTCTTCTTCCCCAGGCCTACTTCCAGGACTGATTCCTATGCCATAAACAGGTTGAGGCCAATAGTCCAGATCTGGGACCCAGCTCTGTAGTTATCCACAACTCCAACAGACCTAGAAGGACAGTTAATATGTTTGACCCACCCCAGGCTCCAAAGCTATGGAGAAACCCTGTCTCAAAAAACCAAAACAGCCTTTAATTCCAGCACTCGGGAGGCAGAGGCACGAGGATCTCTGAGTTCGAGGCCAGCCTGGTCTACAGAGTAAGTTCCAGGACAGCCTCCAAAACAATACAGAGAAACCCTGTCTCTAAAAACCAAAAAATAAAACAAAATAAAAAGAATAAACAAACAACAGAAGTGTCTCAAAGTTGAGCACTGTAGCATGTACCGGTAGTGCCAGTCACTTGAGGAGTAAGGGAGAAGATCATTTGATGCTAGGAGCTCAGGGCCAACCTGAGAAATATAGAAAGACTGGTCTTTAAAGCCAAATCAAACCAAACCCCTTTCTCCTGTGACAAAGTAAGGACCAAAACTCAGAGATAAAAAAAAAGAAAATAAATAAATTTTATTTATGAGTGTGTGCACGAGCATGTGTGCGCATGTAATGCATACGAGCCATGACATTCATGTTGTGGTCAGAGGAGAATTTGTGGGAGTTGGTTTTCTCTTTCCACCATGTGGGTCCCAGGGACCGAACTCATATTCTTGGATACAGCAGCAAGTGCCTTTGCCTGCTGAACCATCTCAGCAGACCCCAAATTCAGACTGTTTTCAATCCAACTCCAGTGCCCTTCAACTGCATTTGATGAATTGCAAAGCATCTATCATAGCTGGGCTTGCAGAGGCCAAAGTGCTCAAGTCACAATAACACTTTGTGGACTATAAGCTAGGAGCCATGGGCCATCACCCACACTTACACAGTTATACAACCCTTAGGAGATGCTTTTTCTGTAAGTTCAATGAAACTTAAGGGTTTTTTTTTGTAGTAGGATTAAAGCCAGGCCCTCAGACATACTAGGTAAATGCCCTACCACTGAGTTATACCTCCAGCCCTAAAAAGAAAACTTATGAGAAATTAAACTGTGTGCTTATAAACTGCCATGATATGCAAAATTTTGCTTTCAAGGCAACTTTAACCAAAATTATCATAGTGAAAGAGACAGAAAGGAGAAAATGGACAAGGACATAGGCTTCCCAAATAAGCAGACATAGGCATGTCTAAACATTGTCCCATGTTAACAATGACTCCTTGCTTTGGAGAGGGGCCTGGGTGGGGGTGATTCTCCAGGCGGCTGTGGTCAAATGAGGGAGGCTGCTTCTAACAAAAGCTTTCCGAAGGGACAGTGTGACCTTAGGTAATTCTTTTCAAACAATGTCTTTCCAGTCTGTGTAGTCTTCAGTGTTCCCATCCCAGAATACCACAGGCCTCAGCAAAGCTAAACAGCCCACACTTGAGCTGAGCAAGGGAACAATGCTTTGACGTACACTCCGGGAGAGACAGGGCCTTTGTGTTTGCAGCCCCGCTTGAGTCATGTTTTGTGAGTTGTGGGAACTGCCTGGGAAGGAAAGGAGGGGGGTTCCTTCCATAGCCTCAGATTCCAGAGCATCCCGGTGAGAGGAAAACCACGTTCAAGGCCTTCCCTGCCCCCAGCCTCCAGCTGTGAAAGCAGAACTGTGGGGCAGATGGGAGTCTGGGGCACGGGAGGTAGCTACCACTCCCGCCATCAGCCCACCCTTGGGGTTCTCTGTGGAGACACAGTCACAACTGGGACTTTGATGATTAACTGTCTGGTTTTTTCTCTATTCTAAACACCACTGCTTTCAAAATTAAAAAGAAAAAGAACAAAGAAAGTGGTCTGGAAAGACAGTTTAGTTAAGAATACTGGCTGCGGCTCCTCCAGAGGACCCAGATTTGAGCCCTAGCAGCCACACAGGATCAGAGGGGATTCTGTATGTTCTTCTGGCCTTTGTGGGCACCAAGGAAGCACATGGTGCACAGGCATACAGACAGGCAAAACATTCATACACATAAAATAAGTTAAAGAAAGAAAAAATATATGTATTTTTAAATTGTCAGAATTGGATGTGGTTGCAGACTTCTGCAATCCCAGCACTGAGAAGGCCAGAAGGATCAAGACTAGCCTGGGCTACCTGGTGAGACCTTGTCTCAAAAACAGAATCATCTAAGTATGGTGGCCCATACCTATAACCCCAGATTTGGGGCTGGAGGATCAAGGTCATCGTAAACTACAAGAAAAGGAAAAAAGAAGGGCTGGGGATACAGCCTGCCCGCATGAAATCCCAGCTCAACGTAAAAACAAAAACAAAAAACACTTTTGTTATGGTGGAAGTTCTACCCAAGCTCCCCTCCCCTATTTCTCTCCAAACCCTGCTGCATCTCAGAAAGCCCAACAAATGATGACCCCTCCCCCAGGGATGCTCAAGACCACTCCCCCAGGGTATTTAAACTGCCCCCCAGTAATAGATGTGTGGTTTTCAGGTCTCTCTTTCCCCTCTCCTCTCTGGGGGCCTGGAAAGCCATCCAGGAGCATTGTATTCATCAAACATGGGCTGCCTTTCTTTCTTTCTTTCTTTCTTTCTTTCTTTCTTTTTCCGAGACAGGGTTTCTCTGTATTGTTTTGGAGGCTGTCCTGGAACTCAACCAGGCTGACCTCAAACTCACAGAGATCTGCCTGCCTCTGCCTCCCAAATGCTGGGATTAAGACATGGGCTTTTTCTAATTCGGTTTTATTTGGTCTGATTTGTATTGCTGCATTGGTGGAGAGGCTTATGGAATAAAGCAACTTTTCAACTTTGGAGGCAGAGGCAGGAGAATCTGTAAGTTTGAGGCCTGCCTGGTCTACACAGTGAGTTCCAGGACAGCCAGGGCTATACAGAAAAATCCTGCCTCAAAAAAATCGAAACAAAACAAACAAACAAAAAACCCAAAACAATCACAACAAAGAACTGTAGGGAGGGGGGCTGGAGAGATGGCTCAAAGTTTAGAGCACTGGCTGCTCTTCTAGAGGTCCTGAGTTCAATTCCCAGCACCCACATGGTGGCTCACAATCATCTGCAATGATGAGATCTGGTGTCCTCTTCTGGTCCGCATGCTTACATATAGCCAGAACACTATACATCATGAATAAATCTGTTTAAAAAAAAAAAGATCTGTAGGGAGATATCCACTTTCGCCCATACCTGTAGCGCTGACCATTCCTGTTTGGGCATGGTCACAGATGAGGACATGATGGGGAGTGAGTTTAAGTCTGGGGCCAGGGCAGGTGGCTCTCTCTTGCATCTGGTTGGATCACAGAGAGCAGCCTGTGTGGATCCACAGAGCAGGAACTGCTTCGGCCATCTGCTTCTTATGTAAGTGACTTCTCCCCCAAATAAATTATACTTAACCTATATTTGAACCTAGTCCTGTGTATTATTATCCGTGCCTCTGCAAAGAACAGTACATAAAGGCGAACTAAACAGCTGGAAGTTTTGGAGGAATGACCAGCTTTCAGGTTGTTCAACACCAAAGAGAACTCTATCCTTCTGGGACTTTCTTGGCTTAACAAGGGTAATGGAGACCTGGATAAATAGTTCAATTGCTAAAGAGCTTGCCTGATAGACATGCAAACAACTTGTGAGTCTATTCTGGCCCTCTGCCATCTGATACCAGGGAATGAACTCAGGTTGTCAGGCTTAGCTGCAGGCAACCTTATCCACTGAGCCTTTTTGCTACCCCCTAAATATCACTTAAAGTGGCTTTTCTAGGGCCAGTGAGATGGCTCAGTGGTAAAGGCACTTGCCATGAAAGCCTTGAGACTAAGTCAGACCTCTAGAACCCATTAAAAAACCAACTCCACAGGCCAGACAGTGGTGGTGCACACCTTTGTTTTTGTTTTGTTTTTCCAGACAGGATTTCTCTGTATAACAGCCCAGGTTGTCCTGGAACTTGCTAGATAGACCAGGCTGTCCTCGAACTCAGTGTGTAAGCCTTTAATCCTAGCACTTGGGAGACACGAGGCAGATGGATCTCTGAGTTCAAGACCAGCCTATTCCAGGACAGTAAGGACTACACAGAGAAGCCCTGTCTCAAAAAACAAAATGAACCAAAAAAAAAAAAAAAAGAAAAGAAAAGAAAAGAAAAGAACCAAGTCCAGCTGAACTCTGTGAGTTCGAGACCATCCTGGTCTACAGAGTGAGTTCCAGGACAGCATCCAAAGCCACAGAGAAACCCTGTCTCAAAAAAACAAAACAAAACAAAAAACCACACCAAAAAGCAAAAAAGAACCAACTCCACAGAATTACCCTGTCACTTCCAGGTGTATACTATGACACATGTGTGACCACAAGCAAATCGTGCACACACTCATCCAGACGCAATAGTAATACATAGACGGGGGCTGGTGAGATGGCTCAGCAGGTAGGGGCACGTGTGTCTTGGTCTGGAAACCTGAGTTCAATCCCTGGGACCCACATGGTAGAAAGAGAAAATCAACCTCAAGTACTTGTCCTCTCCCACCCAAACGAATGCTGTGGCATGTGTACCTATCCCCCAACACAAACGTAACACCAAATGTAATAAAAAATTTTATCAAATGTTAATGAAAAATTTGAAAGAATTTTACAAAGCAAAGGGACTAGCTGGAATTTAAAAAATAAAATAAAAAATAAAAATAAAAATAAAAAATAAAATAAGTATTTTTTAAATAAAATTAAGTCAGAATACAAAGGAAGGGGTTTTGTTATGACATTGTCATACATATGTGTCATGTATGTTCTCATGTGTTTTCTTCCCTCAGTTAAACAGGGTATAGTGCCACACATACAAGTTATCAACCCTCAGGAGGTAGGAGGACTGAACTCAGGAGTTCAAAGCCATCCTGAGCTACATAGTAAGTTTCAGGTCAGCCTTGGCTACATTCTATGACTCTTGTTGAAAAAAAAAAAAGAAAAAAGAAAGAAAGAGAATGAGTAGTCCTTTTCAATTCCAAACTGAAGAACACTAAACAGGTAATTAAATGTAATAATGATCTCTGGGAGGGAAGGAGAGAAACATCAAAAAAATTACATAATTGGGAAACTGGAGAAAAAATTAAATATAACCTATAATAGAATTCTCTTAGTATGAAACCTCCTAAAAGTGATCGTGGTACTGTGGAGATGGAAAACAATGTTTTGTTTTGGTTCTTCATTTGCTAGGTAGACCAGGCTAGACTCAAACTCACAAACTCACAGATTTTTGTCTCTGCTTCCCCAGTGCTGGGGTTAAAAGTTGTGTGCTACCATACCTGGTCCAAAAAGCGGATTACAAGCACAAAATGCCACCACTGGAAAACCATTACTAGTAAATTTGTTATTTCCAACTAGTAACACATCCAGGTGGATAGGGTCACAGTTTCAGAAATCAGATAGATTAAACAGCCATGTAAGGCACGTAGGTGCTACAAACCTTGTAGTAGCTTCCACCCCAGCCTTGGGGGGGGCTCCTGCTCTGCGTCGTAGTAGCATCCCTAGGATACAGAGAGTAAAGAATCCCCAGAGAAGTAGTGTCTCTCCATCACTGTATACAGACTTGGTCCAGCTGGGTGGAAGCATTGTTGAGTTTGAATATTCAACCTCGTTCTATGCGGCTACCAGCAGAGGGAGCTGCACACCCAGCTAACTGACGCAACTGCAGCTGCACTCAAGGGCTCTGCTCTCGGGTAGGGAAACAGGTGGAATTGCTGAATCACCCGGCTGAGAAGCTAGAAAGAATGGATCAGGCCTCTTTGGTGTCCGGATCTGGCACTTGCTAGTCTTTCCCTCCTGACCATAAGCTCAGACCATGTCTGACTTACCTTCTGCCTGTATTCTTACACAGACCTGACGGACACACAGCAGAGCTGGGCAAAGGTTAACAATTGTTGCTATTATTTCTGCAAATGTGTATCCACCAGAAGTAGCCAGCACTATGGAAACCGAGATGCTTCTCTCCACTTGCCCCTCCTCTTACAGGCTCCCCCGTCCCAGATCAGAGAAACACTTCCTGGAACTCCATCCTCCGTGTGCACCCCTTTACCCACTCCTCAAAGCCCCAAACATCTGTCTTTCTGCAGACAGGGTCTCAACCCTAGGAGAGGCATGCAAAATCCTAGGTACAGACAAATGGGGGGAACGGGGGGGGGGCGGGGAACGACGACGGGGGACGGACGACTCACACTCCAGCGGGCACCAGTGGCTGGAACTTCCACTGCTCCTCGTCACAGTCCAGGAAGAGCCTGTTCATGATCTTGTTCTTCTCCTCAGGGGGGATGAAGTTCTCAATGATGAGGTACCTCGGGGAAGGAACGAGACAGAAATGGGAAGCGGGAAGACCCCGCCACAAAGGCAACAGAGACGGCGACCACGGTTTCTAATGCAGAGATTGTGGGTCTGGGGCCTTTCGGGTGGTTTCTGACCAGTGCTCAGCCTGCACTTTGGCAGAGGGAGGCAGAACCATCAAACCAGACTGAGAAAATGGAACAACCTGAAGGGCTCCAGGTTCAGGGAGAGACCCAGTCTTAGAAAAAAAAAAGGTGGCAGGTGATAGAGAAAAACTCCCCAATGTCATCCCCTGGCCACCACACACTAATCATAGGTGTACACACATATACATATGCAATGCATATACATATACATACATACATACATACATACACATATGCGCACTCTCAGGCCCAAAATACCCAAGTCATACAAGCTGGGCAGAGTGGTCTATACCTAGTAACCCAGCAACTGGGAGGCTGAGGCAGGAGGATAGCTGAAAGTTACAGGACAGCATGAGCTACCACAGAAACTCAAATAAAGAAAAAACCTCTCAGAGAGGCCCTGAGGAATGTGGGGCGACATGGGGACCCGGAACGGAACCAGGAGAGGAGCCAGCCCTACTTGAGCTTGAGTTCCCGGGTCTGCTCGTTCTGCGCCTCTTCCAGGTCCTGCCGCACGCGGATGTACTCCTCGTGTTGGTCCTGGATCTCAGCCTTCACCGCCTGGAGCTTGGCATAGAGCTGGACATGCACAGTGTGGCTCAGAGGCTGCTCATCAGGCCCCAACCGCCCAGCCTGGGCCTCACCCACTGCAGGCTCAGCCCAGGATGAGGATGGGGTTGCTGGTCCCAACTCAGAATGCTGCCCATCCCTATGAATCAGGATGCACTATTTCAAGGGCTCTTTGTCTTCCCTGCGGTTCGGTCCCGCCTACCCACTGCTCTGTCTCTGTCTCTGTCTCTGTCTCTGTTTCTGTGTCTCTGTCTCTTTGTCTCTCTCTCTCAGTATCACAGAGTATTCAAACTGAAAGAGAACTGAGGAAATTTTGACCTAACATCCTCTTTACATAGACTGAATAAAAGGTCATAATTGATCCACAGAAGAGTGGAGACAAGCCAGGCAGTGGTGGTGCACGCCTTTAATCCCAGCACTTGGGAGGCAGAGGCAGGCGGATCTCCACATTTGAGGTCAGCCTGGTCTACAGAGCGAGTTCCAAGACAGGCTCCAAAGCTACAGAGAGACCCTGTCTTAGAAAACAAAAACAAAACCCTGTCTGGAAAAAACCAAAAAAAAAAAAAGAAAAGAAAAGTGATTTGTTTACCCTGCTGCTCATCTTATCTTTTTTTTTTTTAATTCCTATTTTATGTACATTGGCATTTTGCCTGCATGTATGTCCGTGTGAGGGTGTCAGATCTTGAAGTTACATTCAGGTGTGAGCTGCCATGTGAGTGCTGGGAATTGAACCCAGGTCCTCTGGAAGAGTAGCCAGTGCTCTTGACCACTGAGCCATCTCTCCAGCCCTCATCTTACCTTCTTGAGTTTCTTGGTTTTGACCTCCACCTCCTGCTGCAGGGATGAGTAGGTACCACGCAGCTCCATGGTCTCCTCGTCTCGGAGGAGCATCTCCTGCTGCATCTCCCGCTCACGGCGTTTCTAGGGCAAGGCGCGGCGAGGGGGTCACAACAGACAAGCAAGGTACACTGGAGGAGGCTAAAGAGTACAGGGGCCGGCTGGCTTTGCCTGTCATAGGACCTGGCTCTACCATGGTCCTGGCTACCAGTCAGGGGCACCCCAAGGCTCACATTCACTGTTCCTCACAATTCTAAGTGGAACACTGGACTTCGTAGCTCCTGTGAACATACTGTGTCAGGTGTGACCCTGTGTGCATGGTGACCCCAGTCCTAAGAACTAGCATTCTCTGGGAACATCGCCCACAGCATCACAGCTGATTGGTAACTAACTTGAGGACTTAGGAAATTGCCATACAATCAGCAATGGAGGGCCTGGGAGTTAATACCAGGGGTCTCGTGGAGGCTAACAGCACGGAGAGCCACCTCTTCCTCTCATCCAAAGAGAAGACACTGAGCTGGGAGACCCATGGAGTCCAAGTGACTTAGCTTGGGTTCTCAGCTAATTCTAATTCCAGGATTCTCAGTTCAGCCTGCCCCACACATGACCTCAAGGTGACATGCCTCAGGGAACCTGAAGCCTAGCGTCCTTACCTGCTCAGCAATCTCCTGCCGCTTCAGTTCTAGCATCTTCTGTTGCTCATTGGTGTGATCCATGATGTTCCTTCCCCCGATCAGCAGCTTGCTTTCCATGGCCTGAGGACACAATGGGGTTCAGAGAAGGGACTGACATCCCAACTTGGGATTTTTGTTTGTTTGTTTGCTGGTCACAGTGTCGCATGTAGTCCAGACTAGCCTCAAACCTTCTATGCAGTAGACGGTGACCAATGCTGGATTATAAGTGTGATTCACCACACATAGCTTTATTGGTTTGATTGTTTTTTGTTTGTTTGTTTGTTTGTTTTTTTTGAGAAAGGATCTCACTGTGCAGTGTTGGCTAGCCAGAACTTATTATGTAGATCAGGTTAGCCTGTATGTAGATCAGGCTAGGATAGAACTTGTGGCAGTCCTGTTTCTACCACCTGAGTGTTGGGATTGCAGGTATGTGTCATCATGTCAGTTGACAACTTAAGAGATCCTCTCTCTGTCCCTCTTCCCCCCTCCTCCTTCCCTTTCCTTCTTGAAACATAGCCAAGGGTAACCTTGAACTCCTGAGCTCCACAAGTCCACTCCAATGACCACAGAGCAGACACTCTGCTGCCCTTCCCTGCGATCCTTCTAGGAATGGACATAATGGACGTAGCCTTGTCGGTGGGAACTGAGTTTCCCCCTCCAGCCCCTGGAGCCATAGCACAAAGCTACCATTGTGGACAGGAAGGATCCTTAAGGATGAAAAAGAGGGAACCCCTTTGGGGATATAAGGCACCTGATCTCTTTGCCATGGAAACGAAGGAACGGCTGGGTCACCATGCCTGTGAGGAAGGTGGGTGGCAATCTATTCCTGGCAACCAAGCCCCAGATGGCAGCAGCAGGAGGAGAGACGGCACTCACTGGGCAGCCCAGCCCTTGTACTGTGTGGTTCCTGACTCAGGAAGACAGCTCATCACTGGGGTAGCAGGAAACCTTGGTCTAATCTTGGGCTGCTGAGGAAATCAGAACAACCCAAGGGAAGAGATTTCCCAGCAACAGGGGACAAAATGAGGCCCCAGAGGCTGCATGAGCTTTAGACACAACCTGCTCGGCTCACTAAGCTGAAGGAAAAAGCCAATCCCCTGCCTCTATTCTTGGACCATCAAGTTAGAAAATAACAGAGGAGAGATCCAAATACCATACCCCTAGCCTCACTGAGAGCTCCATGCTATGTGAAGGCCCCCACACCATCAATGCCTTCAGTGGGGCTTCTGGAACACGATAATGGAGTTGTACAAAGCCAGACTCCATAAAATGCATTGTCATTATTGCCAATAAGAGGGCACTCTTCCAGGGCAGACAACTACTCTGATTTCACCGCTGGCCTCCTGAAGGCTGACATCACCTTGAGCCACTGGAAGAAATTGGCTGTCTCCCCACTGGAATTTTTCCTAGTGGAACCAGCTGTCACATCTGAGGGCTCTCAGGGCTGAGGGTGCTGCCAGGCTGGGGGAGTGGGCAGCTGCCTGTGAGCGTCACATCGTTGGGATCAGAGCAGGACAGGGGTTAAAGGGCGTTGTGGGGAGGTCAGAGGTTGGCTTGTGCAATACCGCAGTGGACACTGAGCAAAGCCAGGCCGGCTGGAGAGGCAGGAACCTCACATAAGCCCCATGCAGTCACAAAGACAAAGGAGGGAGCTATGGGGGGACTGGCTAGCCTTGATGCCACACCGGAGCCCTCGCACCCCTGGATAATTGCCTTACCATGTATGCCACCACTATGTCACATACTTCACTCGACTCCTCTCCGTTCAAGGTTATAACTAATGCAACCCTGAAATCTGGTGCCCTTGGCAGCTTGCTCAGCACAGCCTTTTACCTCACTCACCCAGATAAATGGCCAGCCATCAAATATCATCATCAAATGCTTCTTTTTTTTTTTTTTTGGTTTTACGAGACAGGGTTTCTCTGTATTGTTTTGGAGGCTGTCCGTCCAGCCAGGCCTCGAACTCACAGAGATCCGCCTGCCTCTGCCTCCCTCGTGCTGGGAATAAAGGCGTGCACCACTACTGTCCAGCCATTAAATGCTTCTTATTGCAATTTACACCACTGTCCCCTTTTTGACCTTACTGATGCCTACTGACCTCACTGAAATCCCTAAGACTTGCCCAGACACCCATAGGCTCCTGCAGCCTTAGTTTCCTCTTCCATCATTCATCCTCCAAAACCACAAGTCTAAACCACTTCCCTGCTCAATTATCCAATGGGCCTCTACTCCCCACAGTGGGGAGTACCACATTCTCTTCTCCCCACCCCACAGCTACCTGGAAAACTGCTACTCATCCTGCAAGACCCCGCAGGAACAGCTTAGGAAATTGTCATTGATTCCTCCGAAGCTGCTTGTTCAGACCGCCGCCATAACCAGGGTGCATTCCTACAGTTCCCCCATATTAGAAATATTCCCTCTAGGGCTGGAGAGATGGCTCAGAGGTCAAGAGCACTGACTGCTCTTCCAGAGGACCCAGGTTTGATTCCCAGCACCCACATGGCGCTTGCAACTGTGTGTAACTCCTTGTCCAGGGGAACTGGCACTCTTACATAGACATACATGCAGACAAACACATAACCCTGAGGACTCTAACATCTGGGTGGCCCATCCTCAAAGGCCTAGCATTTGGTCCAGTCTCCACATCTGGCACATTGTCCATTCCAGCCTGAGTCTTTAGATTTCCCTCAGCATTTTATGTAATTCTAGCATCCTTTACTCTTTGCCACTGAACAAAAAGGCAACACTTCTCAAATTTTGCTGCCCACTGGAATCACCTGGGAACATAGCAAACCACCTTGACACAGTGACTCAGAATCTGCATTTTCTGGGTCTGGGGATGTGGTTTGGAGGGTAAGGGGTTTGCTGTGTAAGTGTAAGTAATCTGAGTTTAGATCAACAGTGCTGAGAGGGGTGATGGAGACAGGAAGGTCCTGGGACTTGCTGGCCAGCCAAGCTAGATTCACCAAGCTCCAGGCTCACTAAGAGCTTGTTTGAGAAAAAAAAAAAAAAAAGATAGAGGAAGATGCCAATGTCAACCTCTGGCTTCCATAGGCTCACACAAGCTTGCATATTTTGTGTAAGCATGTGTGTACATGAGCTCTCTCTCTCTCTCTCTCTCTCTCTCTCTCTCTCTCTCTCTCTCTCTCTCTCTCTCACACACACACACACACACACACACACACACACACACACACACACACACGAGTCTGTATTTCCCTAGGTCCCCAGTCGACTTATGTGTCCCTGTGGTGAAGACTAGGAAATGGGACCAGCTACAGGAAAAATAACATGTTTTCAGCAACAGAAGATCGTGACTGACTAGCCTCTGGGAGTTCTTCCAAAGTGGGACAAAATTACTGCAGCATTAGGGAAGTCAGTGGCCAGGACTTAAGATATTAAAATGTGCCCCTGCCCCTCCCCGAGGTTGTACATCAGAGGTTATTCAGCATTGCATGGGTTGGGATGAAGAAAGGCAAAGTGCTCACTCACAGGGAAGGAAACAGGCATTTCTCTGAGTGGAAAAATGCCTAAGTGTGCGATGGCAGGACTGATCTCTCTTAAAAACTGTTCAAGGAAGCCGAGCGTTGGTGGCGTACCCCTTTAATCTCAGCACTCAGAAGGCAGAGGCAGGCAGATCTCTGTGAGTTGGAGGCCAGCTTGGTCTACAGAACGAGTTCCAGGACAGCCGGGCCTATTACACAGAGAAACCCTGTCTCAAAAAAACAAAAAAGAAATAAACGACAACAAAAATTGTATGAGGAAGCATGTACTGACTAAATGTTCAATTTCACAGACACCCCAAATCATTCTAGGTTAATAAGGAACAATGTGAGCGGGCAGGGGAAAAAAAACCCTTAAACTTAATAAGAGTCGGGTAGGTGAGCTTCTGTTACAAGTTTTCCATTTGAGAGGAATGTGATCCTCACTCTGCTCATGAGATGATAGCTGTGGGCAAGGCATTATGAACCAGAATAAGACAGGACAGCGAAGGGAGAAATTCTCTACTGTTCCCAAAAGACACTGGCTTAATATCCTGCCACCGCTAAAAAGTTCAATAGCAGTGGGCCAAGGACCTTCGGGAAGGCTTTTCGGAAACAAAAGGAAACGAATTATCCCCTTGCAGAGAACCACGTTGCAGGTGAATCTGGAGTACGGTGTACAGTTCCAATCTGAATCTCCGGAGACTCAAAGGAGACAGGAGAGCCAGAGAAGGGCAGCAAAGGCCGTCTCAGGGCTACTTAAGAGATGGAAAAATGGGATCCATCCTTGGGCTTCGAAGACAAAGGAAGATTAAGAGGACAGGCCCAGACAGGATATAATATAAAACGGATGTGAGAAGGGAGCTCTCCGACTTTCCCATCCAATCCAGGTACACCCGTGAGATTTCAAAAGCAGCAGCTTTTATGGCACCTGAAGGGAGGACTGCCTGGGCAATGTGGCATGCCTATCAACGCCAGCACTTGGGAGATGGGAGAAGGAAGATGGGGAGTTCAAGACCAGCTTTGTGGAACATAGTTCAAGGTTAAAGTCATCTTGGGCTAAATGAGACCCAGCCACAAAAACAAACAAATGAAGTTGGGTGGTGGTGGTGCACACTTTTAATTCCAGCACTCAGGAAGCAGAGGCAGGAGGATATCTGTGAGTTGGAGGCCAGCCTGGTCTCCAGAGTGAGTTCCAGGACAGCCAGGGCTATATAGAGGAACCCTGTTTTGGAAAAAGAAAAAAAGTGAGCCTCCTCATTTAATTAAATAATCACGTGTTTTTTTTCTCAAGCAGGATTAGGATTGAATGTAGCCCAAGTAGGCATCCAACTTGATATATAGTTGAGAATGGCTCTAAATGTCCCGTTTTTCTGCTTATTTTCCATGTGCTTGGATTACAGGCAAGCACCTCCATGTTTAGGTTCCCTTTTATATTCTCCATGACATCCTGGTGATATCAATCAAGGCCCAACCTCTCCTTTCTCAACTACTTTTTCATGCTGCTTGGGGATACTTTTTTTGTTTTTTATTTTACGAGACAGGGTTTCTCTGTATTGTTTTGGAGGCTGATGGTCCAGCCCTGCCTCAAACTCATAG